ACAAAACATGCTAGAAAGAAATATTTCTGCGAAAGATGCCTACATGGGTACAGCAGACAAGATCTATTAGAAGCGCATAAAGAATACTGTAGAGGTGTTGGACAGACCGCTATCAGGATCGATATGCCTAAAGAGGGAAAAAATATATTAAAATTTGAACTTTATTGTAATCAAATGCCAGTACCGTACGTAATTTACGGCGACTTCGAAGCGCTTATCAAACCCATAGAAAATAATCAAGATAATAATCAAGATAGTAGATTTACGTACAAAACTCAAGAACATATTCCTTGTGGGTTTGGATATATAGTTGTAAGGTATGATGGGAAAACAAACACTCCCGTGATTTACAGAGGTCCCGATGCAGCGGGGAAAGTTCCTAGAATATCTACAAAATGAAGAGAGAATAATCAGGGAAAAATTATCGTGTAAGATACCCATGTGTATGACGAGGGATGATTGGAGTGCCTATAAGAAGTCAAAGAGTTGTCACGTTTGTAACCAACCCCTGGATGGGGATTCCGTAAGAGATCATTGTCACGTCACGGGTAATTATCGGGGAGCCGCTCATAACGAGTGTAACTTGAAACTAAAAATGAACTCTCAAACAATACCCATCCCCGTTGTGTTTCATAACCTTAGGGGATACGATTCACATCTCATTATGCAAGCTATCTCAAAGACCGACGGTGGTTTAACGTGCATTCCTAACAATATGGAAAAATACATATCGTTCTCGTTGACTAAACCTATACATTATAGGGACAAGGATGGGAAATCTAGAACAAAGCAAAGTAATGGGCTTACATTCATAGACTCCGTACAGTTTCTGTTATCTTCCCTGGACAATTTAGCTAATGCGAACAATCCCGATGACTTCGCGATAACAAATAAATATACCGATAAGATAACTCGTCATTTGTTGCTGAGAAAAGGTGTATATCCTTACGAATATATGGATGATTGGTCTAGATTCAAAGAAACTGAATTACCACCCCTCGAATCATTCTATAGTAACTTAACAGAATCTAGAATAACAGATGCCGATTATGAACACGCTCTGACGGTCTGGGATAAATTAGGTTGTAAGAATTTAGGCGATTATCACGATCTGTACTTAAAAACCGATGTACTGTTACTCGCCGATATATTTGAGATATTTAGAAAGACGTGTTTAAAACAATACGGCTTGGATCCGGCATGGTACTATTCCAGTCCCGGACTATCGTGGGATGCATTGTTGAAGAAGACCGGCGTAGAACTAAAACTACTCACAGATTACGATATGCACTTGTTTATTGAGGAAGGATTAAGAGGTGGTATATCGATGGCAGCTAAAAGGTATTCTAAGGCTAATAATAAATTAGTGGAAGGATACGATCCGAGTAAACCCGACACGCATATATTATATCTCGACGCTAACAATTTGTACGGATGGGCTATGAGTCAACCTTTACCCACGGGTGGTTTTGAATGGGTCGATGATATCAATGTGAATAATATCCATAATAATGATGCGAATAAAGGGTACATACTAGAAGTTGACTTGGAATATCCAAGTTCGTTACATAAAGATCATAACAGTTATCCGCTAGCTCCCGAAAGATTAATGGTTAATAAAGATTGGATGTCGGAATATCAACGCTCCTTGATGGGTAATAGTAGGTTAGCTAACGTAGAAAAACTCGTACCAAATTTGATGGATAAGACAAAATATATAGTTCACTACAGAAATCTCCAGTTATATCTATCGTTAGGTATGAAACTTAAGAAAATACACAGAGTTCTAAAGTTTGATCAAAGCCCTTGGATGGAGCCCTATATAAGGTTGAACACAGATTTAAGAAAGATAGCTACCAGCGATTTCGAAAAGAATCTGTATAAGCTTATGAATAACTCAGTATTTGGTAAAACTATGGAGAATCTAAGGAAGCGTGTTGATGTTAAATTAGTCAGATCTAATGAGGAAGAAAGACTCAGGAAACTTATAGCCAGTCCGGCTTTTAACAGAAGCAAGATATTCGATAACGACTTAGCCGCGTTGCATATGCAGAAGAGTAATATAAAATTCAACAGACCGGTGTACGTCGGTATGAGTATTCTCGAATTGTCAAAACACTTAATGTATGACTTTTATTACAACGAACTTAAGAAGCAATACGGCGATAGATGCGAGGTGTTATATACCGACACAGATTCTTTGTTGATGGAAATACAAACCGAGGATGTTTTTAAAAGATATGGCAGAAAAAATAGATATGTACGACACGAGCGATTACCCAAAAGATAATCCACTGCACAGCATTGTAAATAAAAAGGTGTTAGGTAAGATGAAGGATGAATGTGCTGGGACCCCTATAGCGGAGTATGTGGGATTAAGACCTAAGATGTATTCTATAAAGAAGTCCGATAATGGAGAGATAAGAAAAGCTAAGGGCGTTAAGAAGTATGTTGTAAAAAAGAATATCAAACATGTACAGTATAAAGAATCATTATTCAACGGTAGAACGTTCAAACACGAGATGAACTCTTTAAGAAGTTACAATCATAGGATATATGGATTAAGAATGAACAAGACATCATTATCCCCCTTAGATACAAAAAGATGGATTGATAATGATGCTGTAACTACCTATGCTTATGGTTATGGTGGTAATACCGTACCGTCGGGAACTATGAACAACTCTTCTCGTACAAATGCCCTACCCGGTCCATCTTGAAGATAATAAAGAATGGGCTCTCCTTCTTTCGTAACCAATCGACTAATGTTATACCTCTTTAGGGACCATATGGGATCGGTTGCGCGACGTAGGCCTCCTTCGAGTTCACCGGCCTGGTATAAATATCTTACCCTTACTCTATCCGGAAGTTTTCGTTCTTTGCCTCTCCTCGGTGCTGAAGATTCGGAAGTCACGGATTTCATTTTAATAGCATGGGATGGTTTCTTCCCTATTAATCTCGTTACTTCATTATTCAGCGCTGATACAACGGCTGATAATCGTGTCACCCATTCGGTTGATCTCAATCGCTCGGATTTCATTTCGATCCCATACTGATAGCCAAACAAACGTTCCGCTAATGTCCTGTTAAATCTTTCGACGATAGCTTGACTGCGGTGGGCCTCTCTTTCACCACGGACGATTTTGACATCGTTCTTTGTTAACAGTTTAGTTACCAATCCCATAAACTCGCGACTGGAATCTACTTGAAATAGCTTAGGCCATTTTAGCGGTCAGCGTTTATATATGCGACTCAGTGCATTAGCTACCTCTGTTGATTCTTTCGAGGTTAATGGCTCAGCCTCTTTGTATCGACTAGCCACATCCACTACTGTTAAAGCGTATTTATACGTTTTGCGTTTTACCTTATCGTGGGGAAGAAACAAGAGGTCAGCCTGATGAACTTCATTCGTCGTAAAAATATCAAACTTCTTCCTCGGTATATAACGCGGTGCCGGTAGATATATCTGCCACATCGCTTGTTTCTTTAACCAATCCTTGGCCACATCTTTAGATACCTTAGCCGCGGTGGCTAATTTTTTTATTGCTCCTACACCTTTCCAATATCCTCGTGGGCTATAGTAAATTTTATCCATTATTAATTAATATTGATATTTCTTTTAAAACGACTTTCGTTGAATCGCATCATCATTTTTATACTAATAGAAGCAATGATTGGCTTCAGGTGGTGGTGAGCTGGAGTCAATTTAACTTAATCTCATGACTATCGTTGAATCGCATAATCATTTTGGCATAAAAAATTCCCCCTGTAGTGGTGGTATAGGTATATGAATCCGGCTCCAGTGGAAGTGAGCCAGAACCATCATTACCTATACTACTGCCTGTATACAAACAGTCAAATATGGGACATGCAGACCACAGTCTGACAGCAATAACACCGGTCCACATGTGTCGTGGGCTCTATTAACAGCAATCCTTGCACTCCACTTTCGATGACGGCAGCAATGACACACAATCAGTGTCACAGGTTGTAACACTCAGTCACCATTACAACCAAGTATGACTGACTCCCTCCCTCACCACAAACTAGAGTTTTGTTTGTTGTTTAACGCCCAACCCAGCAATATTCCAGCTGTATGACGGCAGTCTGTAAATAATCGGGTCTGGAAAAGACAATCCAGTGATGGACATCATGAGCATCGATCCACGCAATTGGAATACGATGACATGCATCAACCAGGTCAGTGAGCCTGACCACCCGATCCCGTTAGTCGCCTCCTACGACAAGCTTAGTTGCCTTTTGTTTTGTCAAAGCTGTCAAGAGTGAATGTCATTAAGAATTGAAGCATTTGGTTTACAGGATCAATATCAGGTAACCCGTTAACTAATGTATAACATCTTTCTGCATATAGGGTGCCTTTCTTTTGTTGTCAAACGAAGTCGTGAATGGTACTTGTGGACAGTTCAAATACATTTCGTTGAAAGATGATAACTTACATATATATATATATTCAAGATCCTTTCTTTTTTTATATCCTGGAAACATATATGAAATGTGTTGCTTCAAAGAGCATTTGTACCAACTACGTCGTGGTCAAAGGGAGATAATTCATGTGTCTTTACTAACTCAGATGGAATGTAAATTACGAAGTGCTCTCATGGAAGAGAAGATGTGCGACAAAACACACAACAATGGAAGAAACATTGTACAAAGTTAAATGGGAAACTTGACTTCATTAAGAGCTTATCAACCCGATGAAGATTCCTGTTAGAATTAATCTTCAGCGTGCCTTTCGAAAGAAGCGACCTACGGAATCGGGTGGTCAGGCTCGCTGACTCCAGACTGGAGTTTTTACAGACCGCCGTTCTATAGCTGGGATGTTTCTTAGTGTGGCGTAAAACAACAAACAAACTCACCAATGGGATATTAAAATGCGTATATCACTGACAGGTCTTTTCAATATACATGAAATATGACTTTTACATTTATGATATTGGTTATCCGATCAGCTCTGACAAATACCTGACGTGTGGAGGCATTAGTAAATGTAAGATAAGATAAGATAAGCTGTATTTTATTATAGTGTCACATATTGTACATAATAAAACTATAACATTTTTTTCAAACAATAAAATGTACAATATCCAGTCTGGTAAAGCTTACGAGACAATTCTTGAAACATTATTAAAACATATAAATTATATTAAAACCCACCTAACCTTGAAATGTAGCTGTAGAGTAAAATAATACATACATTTTCTAAAGTCATTAAATACATACTACATGTTTATAGTGTAGTTTGGTGGATGTCTCAAGCATTAGTAAAAGTATTATCAGCGAGAGATACTGATAGAAACGTTAGTAAACGGTCTTGCTGGATAACGTAAGTGAACGTGTAAGTACATAATTTGGGTTAAATTCCTTTGCCTCACAGAATGTATGTGGTACCCTGTGGCGCCGAGATTTGATTGCGTAATTGCGTCCGTTAGACGTGATAGGCACCTACAGTTGTGGGTTTGAATCCCAGACTGACCCTGATTAATTATCTAGGTTTGTCAGCACCGTTTCCGTGCTCGTGGGTTTCCCCAAAGTTGTAAACGTCTACGACCTGCATAATTTTTGTCTTCTCCCCACTTTAAACCGAAAATAGCCACTTCAACTAATCTAATAATTCATTATGTGCTTGTCGTGTGTATGCGGAAACAAACGTTCGCTCGTCCTGCCAATGTCCCAGGTTCGGTTGTTCAATGTGCCCCCGATGTGGTAAGGGTATTGCCCGAATACTGCTAAAAGCGGCGTATTATCATATTCACTCATGCACTGTAATCTATGTTCAAATGTGTTTGGCGTTTGGGGTATTTTACACAAAACAAACTGTTCATTTAGGGCATATTGCTAAATTTTCATCATAAAAATTTCCCCGCGACGTGATCCGAGTATGTTTTGCTTCCTGGCGTCTCCCTGGGGAATACTGCAGTTGAATACCTTAACAGCATCTCCATAATATTCCACTACATACAGTTTACTGTCACAGAACATCAAGCCGCATGGATACTGTAGTCCATCCTGTGACGTCAGCAGGTCTCTGACAAACTCCCCTGCTGCTGTCAGTAGTACCACCTTGTGTGCCAAGTAGTCCGCCACCAGGATGTGTCCTGTGCTGGTAGTTGTGATACCTCGTGGTCCACCCAGTCTCCTCTCTCCTGTAGGGGTGTAGGTGAACACAAAATCTCCCTCTGGTGTGATACAGTAGACAGACTGTGAGCCAGCATCTGACACCAGGATGTTGCCCCTGTCTGTAGCACAGAGGTACCCAGGGTCATCTATCAGGCTCTTCCCAGAATCGAATCTACTGACTGACCTAATCACTCTCCCTGATACATCCAGGATGTCAACACAGGGAGGATCCCAAAAACCTGCTGCTAATGTTGAAGGACTCAAGGCTGTTAGGCATTTGTACTTCTTCTTTGTTGTGACACGTGACAGTAGTACAAGGTCAGGGGTCACCCGTACTATTACAATCTCATTGTGTGACCAGAATGATACAGCCACCTGGTTGTCCCTCAGCCTCGTCACAGAGCTTGGGTTACTTGCAAGATCCAGTTTACTGTGTCGTGATTTGTTATTCTTTGTGTAGAAGGATTTCAGACATGTACTGTTGCGGTCAGTGAACACCAGTGTCTCCTCACCATCAACAACCAGGACTGTGACGTCACAAGGATCCGGCTGCTTCCTGTCGCCATTGACCTTGATGCCGACTGTCTTGTGTAACACCGGTCTGCACATGGCGTCAAATGTGCCACTCTGTATTTTATCAAGTTGCGTATCCATGACGTCACAAACGTTCTGTTGAATTCTACCAAGTTTTACATCCTTATGTAATTTCCTCTCATCTATTTCACTCACAAATATAAGTTTTGAATCAGGAACATTACCTGTGAAAGTGACATCCCTGTCTGTTGCCTCTTTGATTGCCCCACACTGACACATCTGGTAAATGTCAAACATGTCAGTCTCACTCCCAGACTTCAACACCTGGGTGATGTACTCTATGTGTTGTTGATACATCTGCATGTCTATTTCCCCTGACTTTATCCGCCCCCTCAGTTGTCCAGACTGCTTCTCTGTCATCTCATTCAGCTCCTCCAGCAGCTCTTTCTCCTTCTGTTTAATCACGTCCATGGCTTTCTGTGAGGCCTGTCGGATCTGTGAATTTAATTTGTCTTTGTTGTGGTTTATCGCATCAATCTGTGATTTGTGTTGTTGAAGTGATCTGTACGTGTCGCCAAAGCTCTGTGTAATCAATCCCTTATTGTGTGTAAGAACACTTCTCATCTCAGACATCATGGACTGAATAGTGACCACAGAGTCGCATTTCCTGTGGTATGTGACACAACACTTGTGGCATATTGCTCTATTACAGTCTCTGCAGCAGAAATCCATGACTTCGTTGTGTTCCGAGCACCTTTGTGGTCTAGTGACCTTCACTGCTCCACCAAGGTCAGCAATTACGTGGTTTGACGTACCAGGAAGAGATGCATGCATCTTCACACATCTCTCACAGAGCGGCACATCACAGTCTTGACAGTAGGAGTTGGCCGATTGACTGTCTCCAAGGTCCTGGCAGGGATGGCAGCGGTTTTCTGTATCTGAACAAGTCATGGATAAACCTGTCACATCAAACGTGCAATGTTTAACACAATAATGAGATAACGTTTGTAGGAAGATGTGAACATACACAGGGTGAATCAGTGTAAAAATGTTAATTCTGCCCATTGTGCGGTTCAATGTATACAGGGTCCGGAAAGTACCCTGGGATAATCTACATGTATAGATTTCAAAACTGAAATGACAAAGATTTATTCTAGATAATCCTGATCAATATAGGTGATCCTTCAGTTTCGTCTTGATTATATTCATCTACAATAAACAGTTTTCCATCACCATTTTGATGACGCATGAACGTGCATAGACTGAACCTGGTTTGGTATTACCTCGGTCATTCAGGATAGAGAACCTGGTGTATGACAGCGTTACAGTCCATTACCTTAAAGATATTCTACTTGGGGTTCTTGGTTTCAGTGGAAACTGAATCGTTCGACGGTGTAATTCAAAATAGACGTTTAACATCGCTTTAAAAATTATTACACTTATGTAGCGAGGTGCGTGCGGGCCAGTTTAATAGTACCACCTCACTGAGATAGTGGAGTTTAACATGGATACCCGACGCACGCACAGTTGACTGACTTTAAAGTCTACCAGTCCCTCTTTTATCACCATCATGTCGAGCACCAGGCAGAGTGACAACTAATACCGTCTTTTACTTCTTTTGGTAACATGCGGCCAGGGATCTAACGCCCAAAGGAAGAATATTGTCATCTTTCGGTTTCTTCTAGATCCCATTTACTTACCATGATCAGTATTTCCCCCACAGGCTAGAGTGTCCAGAAGTCCCTGTATGAGGAAACTGGGTTTGATCTGGTTCACCCACTCCTCCACTGGTCTGTCAGGCTGGGGAGCTTGGGTCATCTGACGACAGTAGGGACACGGGATGGACTTGGCTCTGATGGCGTCTTGTCTGGTCTTCAGGAATTTCCCCAGGCAGCCCTTACAGAAGGTGTGTCCACAGGTCAGAGTACAGGGGTCTTTGTATCCCTCCGTACATATGGAACAGGTCAAAAAGTTCTCATTCAAACTCTCCAGCTTTCTGGCGGCTGCCATCTGAAACAAAGGAATAACTGTTTAATATCATTCATGTATTTTAGGGACTGATGATTGAATGTTAATACATTTTTATTGTATGATGTGCAGGTTTTGAAATATTGAATATCTGAAAGTTATGACAGTATAAGTTATCATTGACAGTAGTGACCAATCATGATGCATGTAAAATGCATCTGAATATTTAACACTGAACAAGTGACTTGAACATGTTGAAAGCAATGCGAGTTCCTCTGTACTGTCCGTCCTTAGTAAATGAGTTTTCCTTGACGCTCCTTTGTAAGTCTTTCAGTTAACTGTTTGTTTGGGGTTGTAGATATGTGTGATGGAGTGAGTATGTTTTTACGCCGCCTTTAGCAATATTCCAGCAATATCACGGCGGGGGACACCAGTAATGGGCTTCACACATTGTACCCATGTCGGGAATGGAATCCGGGTCTTCGGCGTGACGAGCTAACGCTTTAACCACTAGGGTACCCTGCGACCGCCTGCAGCAGTTGGTGAGTAAAGAAGAAAACATACAACTTTATTTATAACAACTTCTGCTTTTAGCGACATTTGATGTAGATTCTTACACCGTTATCAAGATGGAGTGTACAGTATTGCAGTTACATCTGGGCGTGTCAGCTGAGTGTGGGAGGAAAGCTCGAAGTGACGCATGTCCAGGACGTTCACCACTTTGGTGAAACCCACGAGAGCTCTCATCACTGTCACTGCTAATTTCAGCAACAACAATAGATCCACTGATTTCGCTGATATTAATTCTAACCTTTCAATATCAGTTTCTAAAACGATAAGCTCTACTTTTTTTATTTCACTTTTTAATTATTGATTTTGTATTCTTTCATCAGACAAAAAGAAATATCAACATGATCGAATTGAGCTAATTAAAAGATTAATAGTCGATTTCAAAATTGGTTGAAATTGAAGAGAAAAGTTTGATGGACTGTATATGTTACAGGAAACAAGTATAATCAGTGGTTAAGTCTAATAACTGGAAATTTCAGTGATTATGTCTAATAACTGATTCACTCGGTGGTTGTGTCTAATTACTGAAATCTTCAGTAATTAGACATAATCACTGAAATGAACCAAGGGATTTTATACTTGTTTACTGAATGCTACATATCTCCGTCTCACTGTAGTGAAACACTCCAACTTACCTTGTGTCCTGACACGGCCTCTCCAACGGCGACAGTGTGACGTAGTGACGCAATCCGGGCTGGGACAGGTTTGCTGATAAGCACGGGAACAAGTCGAAATAAAGCACATCAGGTTCACGACAGACTCCTTGGTCATGTGACAGTCATGTGGTGGTCGAGGTCATATCGTACTGAAACCACCCAGTGTTGGAATGAGTGTTCTGATGACCAGCTAATCAGATACCCTGTCCCCATGTTATGCTTTCCATAGCAACGTTTAGGAAATGTCATCTATAGATCTTAAACAAATATTTGGAGAAAACCGCATGATGTGAGTCGGCGCTACTCTAACCTACAGATGTACCCACACATGGGTTTTTGATTACGCCATGGAGACATTAGAGACGCTGGTTGTCAGAGGCCAGATACTGACGTTAATGTGATCAACCAGTACGATAAACGTGGTATCACGATCCGATGAATATTCAAATGAGGTCCTCTAGCTGGAAGTACTTTTAGTCAGCTCAATGAGATCCCAGCAAACAATTCTCCTTTGTTACAGCGTTGTATTTTCGTTGCTACAACATTGTGAGGTTACATTGTCACAACGTACATCTGTAGACTCCATGGCCAGATTGGTTTCTATAACGTTGTGAGGTTACGTTGTCACAACATATAATCTGTAGACTCCCAGATTGCTTGCTACAACATTGTGAGGTTACGTTGTCACAACGTATATCTTTAGATTCCATGGCCAGATTGGTTGCTACAACATTGTGAGGTTACGTTGTCACAACGTTTATCTGTAGACTCCATAGCCAGATTGGTTGCTACAACATTGTGAGGTTGCGTTCTCACAACATATAATCTTTAGACTCCCAGATTGCTTGCTACAACATTGTGAGGTTACGTTGTCACAACGTATATCTGTAGATTCCATGGCCAGATTGGCTGCTACAACATTGTGAGGTTACATTGTCACAACGTATATCTGTAGACTCCATGGCCAGATTGGTTGCTACAACATTGTGAGGTTGCGTTGTCACAACATATAATCTGTAGACTCCCAGATTGCTTGCTACAACATTGTGAGGTTACGTTGTCACAACGTATATCTGTAGATTCCATGGCCAGATTGGCTGCTACAACATTGTGAGGTTACGTTGTCACAACATATAATCTGTAGACTCCCAGATTGCTTGCTACAACATTGTGAGGTTACATTGTCACAACGTATATCTGTAGACTCCATGGCCAGATTGGTTGCTACAACATTGTGAGGTTGCGTTGTCACAACATATAATCTGTAGACTCCCAGATTGCTTGCTACAACATTGTGAGGTTACATTGTCACAACGTATATCTGTAGATTCCATGGCCAGATTGGCTGCTACAATATTGTGAGGTTACGTCGTCACAACATATAATCTGTAGACTCCCAGATTGCTTGCTACAACATTGTGAGGTTACGTTGTCACAACGTATATCTTTAGATTCCATGGCCAGATTGGTTGCTACAACATTGTGAGGTTGCGTTGTCACAACATATAATCTGTAGACTCCCAGATTGCTTGCTACAACATTGTTGGGTTACGTTGTCACAACGTATATCTTTAGATTCCATGGCCAGATTGGTTGCTACAACATTGTGAGGTTACATTGTCACAACGTATATCTGTAGACTCCATGGCCAGATTGGTTTCTATAACGTTGTGAGGTTACGTTGTCACAACATATAATCTGTAGACTCCCAGATTGCTTGCTACAACATTGTGAGGTTACGTTGTCACAACGTATATCTTTAGATTCCATGGCCAGATTGGTTGCTACAACATTGTGAGGTTACATTGTCACAACGTATATCTGTAGACTCCATGGCCAGATTGGTTGCTACAACATTGTGAGGTTGCGTTGTCACAACATATAATCTTTAGACTCCCAGATTGCTTGCTACAACATTGTTGGGTTACGTTGTCACAACGTATATCTTTAGATTCCATGGCCAGATTGGTTGCTACAACATTGTGAGGTTACATTGTCACAACGTATATCTGTAGACTCCATGGCCAGATTGGTTGCTACAACATTCTGAGGTTGCGTTGTCACAACATATAATCTGTAGACTCCCAGATTGCTTGCTACAACATTGTTGGGTTACGTTGTCACAACGTATATCTTTAGATTCCATGGCCAGATTGGTTGCTACAACATTGTGAGGTTACATTGTCACAACGTATATCTGTAGACTCCATGGCCAGATTGGTTGCTACAACATTGTGAGCTTGCGTTGTCACAACATATAGTCTGTAGACTCCCAGATTGGTTGCTACAACATTGTGAGGTTACGTTGTCACAACGTATATCTGTAGATTCCATGGCCAGATTGGCTGCTACAACATTGTGAGGTTACGTTGTCACAACATATAATCTGTAGACTCCCAGATTGGTTGCTACAACATTGTGAGGTTGCGTTGTCACAACATATAATCTGTAGACTCCCAGATTACTTGCTACAACATTGTGAGGTTACATTGTCACAACGTATATCTGTAGATTCCATGGCCAGATTGGCTGCTACAACATTGTGAGGTTACGTTGTCACAACGTATATCTGTAGACTCCATGGCCAGATTGGTTGCTACAACATTGTGAGGTTACGTTGTCACAACGTATAATCTGTAGACTCCCAGATTGCTTGCTACAACATTGTGAGGTCACGTTGTCACAACGTATATCTTTAGATTCCATGGCCAGATTGGTTGCTACAACATTGTGAGGTTGCGTTGTCACAACATATAATCTGTAGACTCCCAGACTGCTTGCTACAACATTGTGAGGTTACGTTGTCACTACGTATATCTGTAGATTCCATGGCCAGATTGGCTGCTACAACATTGTGAGGTTGCGTTGTCACAACATATAATCTGTAGACTACCAGATTGGTTGCTACAACGTTGTGAGTTTACGTTGTCACAACGTTTATCTGTAGACTCTATGGCCAGATTGGTTGCTAAAACGTTGTGAGGTTATGTTGTCACAACATATATCTGTAGACTCTATGGCCAGATTGGTTGCTACAACGTTGTGTGAACCAAAGTATAACCAATGCAGAACGTTGTTACAACATATTTTTCTTACGTTGTTAAAACGTTTAATCAAAATGTTGTGACGACGTTTGTTTCTTAGCATATACATGGACGATAATACAACCAAGGTGGGAAGTCAATGTCATGTCGAATCACTATGACAACATAAAATCTGGTTTTGTGGCTGTGGCTGAAGAAAACAAACTAATCATGATACAAAATCCCAGCCCCTCCTATTCCCCCGAATATCAAATGGTCGGTCTCTGAAACTACCCTGGCACGTCCACACATATTCGTCATCAAGTCCAGATTTTCCTGGTGTGACATCAACGACATTTGAAACCAAAGTGGTTTGTACCCATTGGAGGTGTTTCGGTAATGCACATGTGGTCGAATATATGTTTGCAGTTTGCCTTAAGAATGTCCAGATCATCTGTGTAGGTTACTTTTACACCACGCTAATTCCAAAATTGTAATAATCATCCTCCATAAGTAAAATGTTTCGAAATAGGGTTTTTCTACATGCATGTAAAATGAAATCAAAAAAGGAATGTAAATTCATAAATTTAATTCATTGTATTGTATGTGGAGTCCTAAATTTTGTCTTCATTTGTTCCTGTAGAAGATATCTCACAAACGACTCGGCGCAATATTCCCACTATGTAAGAGGCAGTCGTTTTGCAATGTTTGAAAAGTGGAAACAGTTCCCAAATCAGGAATGATATAAATATTTAACATGTCAAGGCAAAATCGTTGTGCCGGTTTCAAATTAATATAAAAAATTAATACCAAAAATGGGGACACCTTTCAGAAATTCTAGCGTTTACAGCCCAGTGGGGGAATGGCTAATGCCATGTTTGCAACAACAAGGAAGAGGCAAGCCGGAAGCGATTGATATGAGATAGTTTTATACACATGCGATTATCGTCTTCATGCAAGCGTTGGAAGTTTTTTATTACCTAATTAATTGCAAACGGATTCTTAAACCACACCGTTTTCATTAAAATATGCATTTATATTGTCCAATAATGTAATTATGTTACTGAGAACAACAAGATGGTGCTTATACAACACTTTGCCATTTAACACGACATGTTGTTTCATGACATGAGAATGAAAACAATTTATCCATCAAAAACAAATACATAAAGTAAGCAAAATCAAGAGATCTACAGCAGCTTTCACGCAGACGTTTTGGCAATATAGTTTCAATCACATGATACAATTGTAAAGTAGTTATTATTCACCACAAAATCGCTGCTGTGTCATCACGAGGACTCTCCTGAGATGTTCCCTTTCGACGAGCAACGGTTTCTCTCACGCCCGCGCCAAAAATGCGCCAACAAATGTTTGACTGTAGCTGCGTGTGACACTATCTATAAAGCTAAAGTTGTAAACTAATGAAGATCGTTTTGTTTGGTTGTTTAGTTGATGTTAAAAACAACACTCAGCAATGTTAATATTCCAGCTATATGACGGTAGTCTGTAATCGAGTCTGGAACAGACCATCCAGTGATTGATATCTTGAACATCGATCCTCGCATTTGGGATACGATGACATGCATCAAATAAGATAGAGAGCCTGACAACCCGATCCCGTTAGTCGCCTTCTACGATAAACATAGTCGCCTTTTACTATTGAGGGCGTTTTGAAAAGATTAAATATCGCCTCAATCTCAGTTCACTGGCAAAGCAGGGCCTAGCGATCGGACTTGACTTACGTTGCATTTCTGAAAGGTGGGGTGGTGTCACCTGACGTGTATACCCAAACGAAGTAAGAAAAATACATTAAACGTTTAACAAATGCCTACATCCTTGAAAATCAAGTATTTTATCTTTCAATCTTCCATAATGCGTCTTTCTCCCAATATTTATCAGATTTATACATGGCAACTTCCGATTAAAAATAATAAAATTATTATGATTACTTACATACATCACACAAACATCAGTATGTTTATTGGTACTTCAACCAAATGAACATAGTGGAAGAATTCGCATGAAAGTCAAAAGTGTATATCATATATATTGTAGGAAGGCAACCGGCCCATACACAATGCATATAAACAGATGATACTTCAGTTCACACACATTACGTTGAG